TCTGGAGACCAAACCCCTTCAGAGTAAGACTGTGACTTATGCATTTTACATCCTTCACAGCGCTTGGCACAGGGTTATGCATATACTATTATGTTATTTGATGAAATAAAATCAATTATTTGATGAAATAATCAACTTATAAAATGATCATTGTGTGCCCAGCACTGTGCAAATCACTATTAACACATTTCATTTGTTGTTCACAATAACTGTATGAGGTGGCCTAATTTACAGATAAGGATATTAAGTCTCAGAGAGGTTAAGTAACTTGCCTAAGATCACAAAGGCTGGGACTGCACCCAAGCACATGAACTCCAGATCCTGATCTCTTATCCACTTGACCTCAAGTTCTCAAACTGGTCTCAGGGTTCCTTTATACTCCTAAAAATTATTAAGGACCACAAAGAGCTTTCATTTATAAAGATAATATCAATATCTACAGTATTAGAAATTAAAGAGGTAGGGGGTGAAGGGGGCCTAATACATGCTGACAGAAGATTATTTGACTTTGGGTGGTGAGCACACAGTGCAATATACAGATCTTGTAACAGAAATCCACACCTGAAACCTGTATGTTCCTATTAACCAATGTGACCCAAAAAAATTTAAATTAAAAAAGATGATAAAAAAAGAAAATGGGAATTTTTAAATATTTACTAATTTAAACAATGCAGTAATAACCCCTTTTAATGTTAACATAAGTAACATATGTTCATGAAAAATAACTCTTTTCCCAAATAAAATAACATTTAGTGAGAAGACTGATTCTATTTTACAGTTTTGCAGGTTTAATATTGGGCTTAGAAGAAGAGAGCTGGATTCTCATCTCCACTTCTGCATTCAGTCTGCTGTGATGTCACATGTCATACAGCTTCTGCAAAACTCCAGGATACACTTGTAAGAGGAGGGTTCAAAAATGGCAAATAACCTCTTAGGAGTATTGCTGAAATAGCCTTGACCTCATGCACCCCCGAAAGGGTCTTGAGGGACCCTGGAATCTCCAGGCCCCCTTGGAGAAGCACTGCTTTGTGACAGCTGCCTGCAGGACAAAGGAAAAAGAGCTGCACCCACAGGAAATGGTCCTAGTGGCTTCGCAAATGCTGGTTCTTCCTCTTTCCCTCCACTCTTGTTCTTTTCCTGGCAACTACATGTCTTCTAAAGTCACCTTTTCCTTCCTCTGTGCTCTGGATGCAGCCTGTCAGGGCAGTGATGAACCTCATGACAGAGTCCCAGAAGCAATAAGAAGGGGCTGTGTCCTAACCCTAGATGCCTTTCTATAAAGACCAAGGATCAGCAGCTTTGCACAGTGGCAGTACCGTAGCCAATGAGGCTTATCCAACGCTCTAACCAAGCAATAGGAGAGCCCACCTGGGCACGGTGCGGGAAGAGGCGTGGCACGATTTTCAGGGGGGCCCAGGTCCACAGACATAGAGAAACAAGTGTTCACCTCCAACCCCACAGGGAGCGGACGCCACCAGCATGACACAGAGCCCACCACCCAGATGAAGCCAGGACATGCCCATGACCAACATGCGGCCTGTCCCAGGAGCAGAATCTCTGCTCCCTCCAGCCGTCCTTCCTGGCCCTGGGCTAAAGTAAGGCCTGGAGGGCCCAAGGACGTCTACAGGGAAGAGGGGGGAGCTTTCTGTGAGTCTGAGGCTGAAGTTTTAAAATGAACAGGACTGAGGCTTACATTCCAAGCCTAAATTGAATTTTAACTGGGAAGCTATGGAATCTGTTGAGATGCTGTTAAGCATCACCCACTACCTAGCAGGGAGAGGTCAACAAAACACTGTTGGTAGCAGTTACTGAAGAAAGAAAACCAGTTCACGTTTCCACTCTGACAACCTGGACCTGCTCACGAAAGAGGTGAGCAGGGCCATGAGCTCACAAACAGGACAGAGCTGTGTGGGAGCGAGGCGGGCCAGTAAGCACGGATAAGTGGAACAGGGAAACTGAGGCAGATTGTTAAACAGCAGTTTGCAGACACCTAGTAAATCCTATCTTCCCTAAACCAAGGACACTTGAGAATAAATGGTTTGTTAGATGGGCCAGGGACAGAAACCCAGGTACAGAAACTCATGAAGGCAGGAAGCCCCTGATGCCCAGCAAGGGGCGAAACAGGGAAAACAAGAACCTTGTCCCCAGGGTAACCTTTCCTCCCCTAGCATATTGCTGGTTGTGCCATTTAGACCCCCTGAGCAAGTTTCCTCCCTAAAAATAGCATCTAGGCCTCAGTTGTACTTCAGCTCCAGGCCCAGATGAGCAGCAAAACCAGATACCTTGACTAATGACCCCCTGCCCAGGTACCAACAAATCAGTGGAGACAGGACCCTGAAAGAGAGTGCCTGGAAAGCTGATGAATATTCTATTGAGACCTCCCCTGAGGCCTCCTTTAAGATTCCCACCAGCAAGAGAGAAAAGCCTGGGACAAAGGACCCAGCCTGCTCTCCCTCTG